ACAGAATGGAGGGGGTGAAACTGTGTCGTAGCAACAGGCACGATGAACTGACAGACCAATTTCACGTTAGAACAGCATCACCGGGTGCATGCGCGATTAAAAGCACATGTCAAACGCTCGCGCTCCGCCGACGAAACCGAATATTCCCTTATCCATCGATTATTGCGATTTTTCCGCGATCATCCGGTGGAAATCGACGGGCTGCTTTGCGTACCGCTCACAAAGCCACCCTGTATCAACGCGCACTCGCTAGAGATCTTTGTTTTCCATTCGGTGGCATCATGACGGTTGCCGAGTCGCTTTAATGACTGTTGAAACTATCATGCTAAATAGATATGGATAGATTTCCGATATTATCTTTTATTTTAGATTTTTAACCCTTTCGAGAGGTGCCTCTAGGTCAACATTTGATAAAATTTCGAAGCTCGATATTAATTAATATATCAAATTTAAAATAATGCAACCGTGTGCGAGGTATCGAAATTGAGTAATTCTATGTGTTAATTATTATACGATTTCTTATTTACTGCTCAAAAAATATCATCAGTCTTATGGAAGAAAATTTTTCAACTCGTACCCCTCTTTAGCCAAAAAATCGTCGGGCGCAAAGGGTTAAATCTTTCTCCTGTATCGTTTCACTCTTCGTAGTACTCTTTGGAAAAGGGGTACATAATTCTTTCAGTCGATAGTTCCATAGAAAGTCTACTCAAATTTTAATTTTTCAAAATTAGCGCAGTAACGTAGGGGTTGATATTTATTAAATATATATATGATTGAACATGGTGCAAAAATTGGGAATATCATAACTATTTAATGGTGTCATGGCTGTTGTTAAATCGCCATAATGGCTACCGAAATTATCCTTATCCTAGAACGATTTTTTATTTGAAATTTTAGTACCCTTTTACGCTATACCACTTTTACTCTGTGGAAAATGAGTCGATATTTATTTGGTATATAGCATTGGTAGTTGATATTTGTTGAAGGTATAATAGTTGGGTATTGTGTAGAAGTTGCGTACGTCGTAGTTAGTCGGGTAAATGTTAACTTTGAGTGAGCTGTATGAAGGATTGGTCGATCAGCACAGCACTAAATATAGCCGCCAGTTAAATGCACCCTGATGGACCAATCGCGCCGCATGCTGCGTGAATAGAGCACGGAGATTGGTTTTACCAGGATGCTCCTAACTAACGGATAAATTTAGCGTGAGGTCTAGGAATCGACGAAGCAAATATTCTTTCGCGACAGAGTCGCAGGCATTTTCATGATATCAAGCGATAGAGG